GTTCAAGGTCAGCCTGGTCTACATAGTGAGTTCCAGGCCAGTTGGGGGTACAGGGAGACCCTGTCTCAAAAAGACCAAAAAAACAAAACAAAACAAAACAAAACAAAACAAAAAAAAACATAGATTGTCAAGTTGACTGGATTTGGAGATTTGGATTACCTAAGAGACACACTTATGAGTGTATGTCTTTGAGGAAGTTTTGAAAAGGGTTTAGCTGAAAAGGAAACTCCCTGAATATGGTATGCAATCCCAGGCTCTGGGGTCTCAGGCTGAACAAAACGGGAAACAGCAGAAAGCCAGATGAGCACTGGATTCCTCTCTCTGCTTCCTGTGGGTGAAATGCAACCAGATACCTCACCCTCCTGCTGCCTTGCGTTCCCTGCTATGATGAGCTCTATCTAAGGATGAACCAAGTTAAAACCTTGTAACCTTAAGTTACTTCTTGTCAAATATTTTGTCACAGCAATGAGAAAAGTAACGAAGACACTCACTAATGAAGTAGAACAAATATTTTCTCTTAAAAATATTCACAATATTGAACATTCTTTTTTGTCTCTCCCTCCTTCCTCTCTTGTCCCCCTCCTCCCCCCTCCTCCTCCTCCTTCTTCCCCTCCTCTTTCCCTGTTTCCCTCCCTCCCACTCCTGCCCTCACTCTCGCTCTAGCTCTTGCTCTCCCGCTCTCTGCACAAGTCTCACTATGGAGCCCAGGCTAGCTTCATACTGTGGATCTTCCTGCTACAGCCTCATAGGTGCAGGGATTATAGGCATGTGCCACTACACCTGGTTTAATAGTTTGTTTTCAATGTATACTGGATTTTATTGCGAATTATCATTTGATAATTTCTCAATTATTAGTATTTTTAATGACAGAATTCTCAAATTAATTTTATATTTATAAATTAAGAACACTGTTTTAGTGAAGTGATATTATTTATTTATTTGCTATTTACCTTTAAAATCCATCTTTAACTTATTTTTGAAATTCTAGTTAATGGATTAGTAGTAGCTTTGTGTATGTGTGTGTGTGTGTGTGTGTGTTTGTGTGTATGTGTATGTGTGTAGATGGAGCCCTGTTGTGTAGTCCATGTTGGCTATGAACCTCAGCCCTTCATCCAATTGTTGAGGAGTCATTAAATAATCATATATGCTGTGGTATAATTTTTGTCATGTGAACGTTTAAGAATAGGCTTCATTAGTTTGACATATTAACATATGCCTTTAATTGCAACATTCAAGAGACAGAGGCAGGTGGATCTCTATGAGTTCCAGGACAGCTTGGTCTACATAACAAGCTCCAGGCCAGCCAGGGCTACATAGTGAGACTTTGTCTCAAAATTTTTTTAAAAAGGGTTTATGCCAACTATATCCAATGAGTCATATGTCTACTATTCAGAAAAGTACAACCTTATATTTTCTATTATTAATTTACCAAATATTTTCATTTGAGGAAAGGGTGAACAATTCTGTGAGTCATTTTTCATATTTTTATAATCATGCAGGTTTACTCATACAGATAAAATACAAAAATTTCTATGTATAGCTCCATCTTCATATATTGGATAATGCAATGTTTAATCTTGATTTCTACCAAATGGTAACTTGATTGGATAGAGTGACACCTAGGAGATTAGTAAAATATGCTTCTGGGTGTGTCTATAGGGATATTTCTGGAAATTATCAGATCTGTAAGTCTCTTACTAATTGTTTCATTCACTGATGAATTCAAACTTTGAATGGACTATTGGTAGGTGGTGAATCTGTGAAAGCTGAGGCCTGGTTGGAGGAAGTAGGCCACTATGTGTATGTTTGAGGGATATATTTTGCCCTGGCTATTTTCTGTCTCTCTTTGCTTCAGGGATTCCAGGTGGTAAGCAACCTACTCTGCCTCAGGCTTCTCTGCCATGGTGTATTTCTCTTTTTGTTTTCTTACCACAAACACATGGCAATGGAGTAGTTGAACCATTGACTGAGACATGTGACTCCTAAACCCAAAAGAAAATTTCCCTCCAATAAGTTGTTTATTCTATGATGGTGAAAAATTTAATACAATAAATACAGCAGTTAAAGGGAGTCCACAATATTCTAGGTAGAAGGCATACTCTTGTTTCCAAATATATATGGCTGTTTTACAAAAGGAAAGTACTCTCATAATTATGCCCAAGAAATCTAACTTGCCTTTTAATTGTGGTGTCATAGAAACTTTAGATGATGCTATAAACTTTTTTACATTCCATCTGAATTTTCTCACACCAGCTGAAGTTTGAATGATCATTACTTTTGTGAAATCTTCAGTGCCTTGTATCTGAAAGCTGACAGAACACAAGTTAATTTCTGAACATGTTGTGCAATTAGATGTTTCTCTTAGAAGTTCCTGTTCTAATTCCTCTTTAAACATCAGGACAAATTTGAAAACCTCATTCTCTCTCCATATATAATACAGATATCTTAAAACTCCTGGATAAGTTATTTTTGTGAAGGTCAATATGTCATATACTGTCATTGATATTTTATATGTCTTCCAAATGAGAAAATGAGAGGACCTAATTGTCAGCAATATTGAAAACATCAAACAGGACTGGAGAGATGGCTCAGCAGTTAAGAGCACTAGCTGCTCTTCTAAAAGACCCTGGTTTGGTTACCAGCACCCACATGACAGCTAAAAATTGTACTTAATTCTAGTTCCAGGAGATCCAATGCCCTTTATGGCCACCACGGGCAAGCACTCTACCATTGTAAATTAAAAGATTTACTTCATTTTAAATTATGTGTATGCTGTGTCTATGTATGGGAATATACAAATGAGTGTAGGTGCTAGCTGAAGCCAGAAAAGGGCATTGGATTTGCTGTAACTGGAGTTACTGAGAGTTGTGAGCCACCTTGTGTGGGTGTTGGGAACTGAACTTGGGTCCTTTATAAGAGCAGTACACACTCTTAACCACTGAGCCATCACCTAGCCTGTTTTTGTTTCCATTGTTTTCGTTTTGATACAATGTTTCAATCTGTAGCTTGGGCTGAACTTGACTTTTTCTATGGATCTCAGGCTGGCCTCAAAATCATGATCCTCTTGTTTCATCTCCTAAGTGCTGGGCAGTATGTACTGCCACATCCAGTTAATCCTTCTATGTTAGACATGTGAGAAAAGCCATTTTGGAATCTACTAATTTAAGAGCTAGAGAGATGGCTCAGCTGTTAAGAGCACTGGCTGCTCCTGCAGAGGACCCAGGTTCGGTTCCCAGCACCCTCATGGCAACTAACCACCATCCATCCATAGCTCTAGTTTCAAGGAAATCCAGTGTCCTCTTCTGGCCTCGATGGGCATTGCACACCATGGGTGCACTTATATACATGTGGGTATTACACTCATACACAGAAAATAAAAATAATGAAATTTAAATATCTACTAATTTAAAACATAGCAAAAAAGCAACATTTTATTACAGTTCAGCAAAAAGCATCCAAAGCAAGTAGATGTGAGATAATTCTCTGTAAAAATCAAATGGAAATACAGAAGCATGTAAGACCCAGAATAATCACAAATAGTAAAAACACTGCTGGAGGTACCACTATTCCTGACTTAAAACTTTACTACAGAGCTATAGCAATAAAAGCAGTGTGGCACTGGCACAAAAAACAGGCACACTGATCAGTGGAATAGAATGGAGGACCCAGGTGTAAGTCCTTATAGCCACCTGATTTTTTTTGTTTGTTTGTTTTTGTTTTTTTAATCATTATTTTTTTAATTTTTTTTTCATACAGAAGAATTCATTCCAAAGCAATTGACATTGAGACGTTTTCACATGCATTTCTAATCTTTATATACATGACTATCACTGGTCACAGTCGCCCACCTTCTGAGCTCCTCGGCATCTGAGCATGAATACAAACTCGTCAGATAGACAGCCTTCCTCTCCCACTAGAGGCTCAATACTCTGCCATCCCTGTCACTGTCCACTGTGTTGTCAGAACCCTCATCCATTCCCCCCTGTCTGCCCTTCTGGTAAATCTAGTCAGCAAAATGCTTCTGTTCATTCGTTTTGACTATTATAAACACATTGTTATAACTACTGTTCTTTCTACAGAAAGCAAGCACTTTGATACACAACCGAGACATGTTTTTCTAAAGCAAAGAGATTGACAGTCGTGGCAATACTCTTTTGCATACAAATCGAAGGATGCGGTTTTTAACAAAAAATGCTACTGTTCTTCCATTTTCACTATTATAAACACATAGTTAGAACTGCTGTTCTTTCTCAGAAAGCAAGCACTTAGAAACACAAGCGAGACAAGTTTTTCTAAAGCCAAGAGACTAACAGTCATGGCAAAAGTCTTTTGAATACAATTCGTAGGAAATGGATTTTAATACAAAATGCTTCCGTTCAATTTTTTCACTATTGTAAACAAATTGCTCGAACTACTGTTCTTTGTACGTAAAGCAAGCACTTGGATACACACCCGACACATATTTTTCTAAAGCAAAGAGACTGACACTCATGGCAATACTCTTTTTCATACAATTCATAGGAAACGGGTTTTAAAACAAAATGTTTCTGTTCATTCGTTTTCACTAGTATAAACACATTGTTTGAACTACTGTTCTTTCTACAGAAAGCAAG